TTCGGCAGAGCGAGGTGTTTCCAGGTTGAGGTCCAAGACATCCATCGTGAAAATGGCTGAACTAGAGTCTGAACCATTGGTACTTCTGGATATTCTATTATTCTAACACAGTGCCATCAGATTCTTTTACATTTATTCAGAATGTTCACAGTTCTGTAAAGTTGTTGGCCATCGTCTCAATCCAGCTCTTAATTGAGCACAGCATAAAGACAAATTTTTGTTCCAAACAACTCCTCCTTTCAGCAAGCAGGTTAACAGTGCTGAGCTGTAGAAACACTTCTCAAGTTCACATGGGAATACAAAGTTAATAGGCTTTATTCTGCTTCTAATTAATTGTTCTTGATATGGAAATACTTAACCCTGGTGCCTAAAATGAGAAAGTATTCAATTCCCCAGCACTAATATCTTGAAAAACATCTGCTACTGGCTAGGTAACATAGGAATCTGGCTCTCCAGCTGTTCAGTGCAATGTGTCTGACCATAAGCATGAGACATAAAATGGATTTGCCCAATACAAAGTAATCATCTCACTCTGAAGTAAACTAATTTCTCACATTCTTCACCTCTTTCCAAGTGTTGGTCTGATGACATATTTTGTATTGTTTCAAACCATTCTTTTCAGGGATCGATCTCAACGAACTGCCAGCTCTGAAATTTACTCCTTTGCTTTTATGACTCACTTAGACACACAAAGTAAGAGAATCTGATTTCTCATTCATTGCTGTGAGGCAACCAAGCTACATTTTCCTACAACTATTGCATGATACATCACACTATTACCTTTACTTTCATGTTTGCCATTGTTGATCAAGATACTGCAACTCACATGTGAGTGATTGTGGGGGAGATGAGTGTAAGCAGAATGATGTATTACATTCCATGTTTGGCATGAGATTGGACTTTGAAAGTTCAGTTACATTGGGGAAAAATGAACAGTTATGCTTGAGAAGGTCTGGTAGCAAAAGCTTGTAATAAAATACAATTTAGACCAGCAATCATAAAGAAAAGGAGCACACTCCAGAAAATTAGCTATTTTCTGCTATTATAACTCTTTCCTACTCTATTAGGAAAAGCTTTGATCATTTTATTTCAAATATATTTAAATTTGAAATTGCTTAAAACTTCAGTTTAGTTGAATGATAACATTTCTAAACGTAAGGGTGAAATAGTAAATTGTTGAATATTTGCTTTTTGTGCATGTTTGGTGTGTTTAGTGTTGTCTTCTCCCACTTGTTAAATGTACAAAAATGAAAGTAAGTGGAGGTGTTGTGTTTCAGTAATTGGTGAACAACCTGACTTCTCCAGTGTCCAATTTATTCCATGGACCCAAGAGAATGGAAGATGGTAAGTTTGTTAGATGGACTAAGAGTTGTCTTTGTGGTTTATGGTTTATGCATTCTAATCCCCTGCAGGAAAGTATATAGCTTTTGCATTCTGCACAACTGCACTTGGTACACACATTTTTAAAAAAATATTATTAAACAATAAGCCTGGCACTGGTGACAGTATGAGTAAGATGAAGGATTAATCACGAGAACCTCTTTCTGCTTGTGGAGGTGTAGGGGATGATAAAGCATGAATTTGAGATGTGATTAGGGGAGTAAAAGGAGAGGTTCTGGAGAACTTCTTCTGCCAGAGTATTGTCAGAGTATGAAATGATTTGCCAGAGGTGAATGTTAGAGCAGAGTTGATTGGAGGATATTTAAAATAGAACCAGCCAAACAAACACATGCAGAGGAAGAGTGTTAGAAGAGACAGAAAGCACAGGGAATTGGGATTAAGATGGATAGCTTCTTGGAGGAGCAAACATCTTAACAAAAAAATGCACCTAAAGACCTCCTTGTTATGTACATTCCTATGGTTCAGGAGTTCATGTTATTGATTTTTTAATAAAATCAAAATACAGTACAGTATATTAAAAGTTCCAAGAGGTTACTCAATGCATTTATTGTACGTGGGTGTTCATTGTTCTTCAACACCAACTTCCCAGGCAATGTCTGGATCAGGTCATCAGAGTGATTCCCCATTTATATTGCAAATTGCTGCCACAATCACAGATTGCAGTATAGAAATCGTGGGTTGAGACGTCTTGCTATAATAAAGCACCACAAATGGCAGAGTTCTTGTCTCAGTTTATTACAGAAGCTATTGAATATCCATGATGTTTCCTCTAAGTTGCTTTCATTCCGATCCTTCAGACATGCCATATTGCAAGGCTTGACCTTCAGTAATGAGAAATTGTCTTAAGTCCCATTGATGCACTTGACTGCTCAGATAATGCACTTTATTTAATGTCATTTGCCATCTGCTGTGAAACCTCCTCTGCTATGAAACCTGTTTTACAAGATTGAATGCATTTGATTTATGTATTAAATGTTTGAATGTGAACTCTGCACTAAAATGTATTTTTATGCCAATTAGAATTGTAAAACTAAAGGAAGGAAGCAAATTGGCATAAATCAATTACTTTATTTTTTTAAAAAATTGACATCTGCAAAGGTTAACAACAGGATTATCAAAGGCAAGATAATGATTATGCCATTCACTAATTTTAAAGACTGAATAATTTAGTTCAATATTCTCTGAACAATGCCACAATGACTTGATTTGATAAAAGAAGTGCTAAATTCTAGTAGTGTCATATATGTATATTATTGAAATTGTGTAGTTTTATGAACTTCTGTCAGTTATGTAATTTTCAAAAGCTTCATGAATTCATTATAGTTTGTGAATGTATACAATTGAAGGATAAGTGAAACCAATGAATTGAGATGAAACGATGGAGGAAAAATGATAAATCAGTATTCTACTCCTACACTATCCTGGAGCCAATCAATAGCATACAGAGGTTATAGGAAAACCTTGACATTTTAACACTATCCTAAACGTGAGCACCAGGTTTCCAGTGGTCACACAGACCTATGATTATTATTTTCACTCGTATACGTCTGTGGTGTGCCAATCATGTCAAACCGGAAAGCAGGTGTTCAAATGTGATGGTGTATTTTTCTGTTCAATTTGACTTTGAAAGGCTTTAAACATTCACAAGATATAATTAATGTAATAGCTGCACTTTGTAATTTGACAGCATTCTTAAGAAAATTACTAAATTGCTGCAATTAATAAAGCACTGAACATCTGCTGAGTTACCGTTGTTCCTTTTGGAATAGATTACATCATTTCACAGGCTTGATGTCAGATCTGTCTCAGCAGCTCTGGCCTCTCTTGTGAGGAGAGATCATTTCTGTAGGCATTAGGCTTCAGACATCCATTGCCTCCTTCCAATCTCCATTGTAGCTCTCATTTTCCTCTTAAGACACTCTTTTAAGATGCTGCTGGGTACATTACTTATTACTGGCCATTAATCACTTCAAGGTACATGTTAACCAATTTCTTTCCTCGATTTTATAATTAGTTGTAATAATTGTAATATTTCAGCAGTTTGGCTGCAGGTAGTGAAATGTATTGATACACAAACTTCTCTGCTGACTCTAAACAGTTTCTAGCTTGTCCACGAGCATAACAAATTGGCTTAGCTTGCTCTTAGATTTCTATGTAACTGCACTTCAATCTTACTTTCAGGAAATAGACAAATGTACAATAACTAGATCTAAAGCTTCTAATAAATGCGAGAGAAAAAACTCTTCTCCCTTCATGTTAATGCCATTGTCACCTCCACTATGTCCTTCAACCAGGAGAATGGAGTACTTGGACCCCATGAACTTCTCCACAGTTGTCACAATGCTTATGTCGATTGCGGTGGAATATCCCTCCATTGTAATATTTCTTTTCTCCAGAGATGGAGCGTTATATTATTGCATCCAGCAATCTGGTGAAGACTCGGCAATAACTTGCCTTTCAAAATTAGTCAAGTTTAATATTGATGTGGAATTATAAACCAGACTCATTCACTGGAAGTACAATACATTAAAGTGGTATCTATTAGAGCACCATAATCTTACTTTTGCTTCATTCCCCCAAAAATTTTAAGAGCTAAAGAATGACTTGGAATATATTTGGTGCTTTTGCTTCCAATAACAGATCTGAAATGGGTATGATTCACAAATCAGCAGCAGAACCTATTTTACAATGCCCCTTGAAATGCAATTTTAAATGTGTAAGATCATTATAACTATCATTTGGCTGATTTTTAAAATAACCATACTTGTTGAAATCATCACATGAATTGGCTCTGAGGAATTCTAGCTCCCTATGGTGTGAGCAAGATGAATTAACATGCACCATTGTAGAGACACAATCACTGAAGCACTCCAGGTTAATGATGCCAATTCAACTCGCTCACATTGTTTGGTTCAGCTCCTCTGATTCAAAAATTATGAGCATTAATTTTTGTCCTGTTAAATAAAGGAACACAAACTTACTGTACTTTTTACCTTTTTAAATGTGTTTTTTAACCTTTTAAAAGATGTTTGCGGCATTATAGCGGTTTATTTTCCCCCATCATCAAACTTACTGACCTACAGCACTGTACGGTTTAGAATGGGAATCCTACTTTACTGACAAGGAAGAAAAATCCACTCTCATCAGCAAAGGTCAATCAATTTCCAAATCAGGGTGAAAACATCCTCTGTGTTTATCTGTGCAGTTGTTGCCTGGGTTTTCTTATTGATTTCTCACCAGCTGTAAAGTTTTAATTATCAAACATTTCTATTTAATATGTGTAGATCACTTTTTCTGATGATGTCCAAAGCAGGATTAGGTAAATTAAAGCAGTAAATCTGTATAAGCTAATGTACACTGAATATAGTATTACAAATGATTGTCCTGCAATGATTACTTTGATAATAACAATATAGAATATAGAAAATATGATTAGCACAGTTATCCGATCAAAGCAGTGAGCATACAGCCATTGATAGTTAAATGCATGTATGCGCAGTGTCTGTTTTTTAAGCGCTCCCAAGATGCTGCACCGCTATATAAATGCAAGTTGTTGTTGTTATGGAAACTAAATGTTGGCAATTGTCTTTCTTCTGCAGCCGCTGCGACTGAACTGTAATACCTGCAGCATTGTCTCCAGCTCTGGACAGATGCTTGGACAAAAGATGGGCCAAGATATTGACCAATCCACGTGTGTCTGGAGAATGAACAATGCACCCTCAAAGGGATTCGAGACAGATGTTGGGACAAGAACTACTGTCAGAGTGGTGTCCCACACAAGTGTTCCACTTCTCTTTCAGAAGCAGCAGTATTTCTTTGGGGAAGCAAATGACACTGTCTATGTTATCTGGGGGCCTTATCGAAACATGCGTCAAGACGGGAAAGGAATCATTTACAATATGTTGTGGGAAATTGTGAAGAGTTACCCTCACGCAAAGATCTACGTGACAACCGAGGATCGCATGAACCACTGTGATAGGATATTCAAACGGGAAACTGGGAAAGACAGGTACGATTTGTTTTGCAGCTTTCTCACTCAAAGTCTAGAGTCTGGGACCTCTCAATAAAATGTTCAGCTGACGCATAAGAGCGTGAATAGCATTAACTACAAATGGATTAAACACTTAAATTAAGATTTTATGTAGGCGGTTATTGTTGTACTGGATATTGTGTCTGTTTTGTGCTAATTCTAATGTAATGACACACAATTCTTAAACTTAAATACTTTGTATAATGGTGAGTACAGTTTCCAGATCAGAAAGTATCAACACTGTCCTTGTTGCTTGTCGAAGTAGCTTATGCAGGATATATTTATTCCGAAAAACAAAGCGATGGCACAAGAAGAAGGTTTATTCCTTTGTTTCCTTTAATCGGCTCCAGTGTCAAATTGTAGAATACTGCTACCAAGGAAGAGGTGAGTCAAGGAGAAAAAAGCATAGCACAAAATGTATCACTGCTAGGTGTATTCTTGTTTTTAAAAAATTGTCACTCCCAACAGCTTTTGCCCAGAGGGGACATATAAGATCTCCTTCAAGAAAATGATAATTATTGTGTTGTTTTTGGCATATGTATTTGCAGCAGGCAGAAATAAAACAGTTACCCTAGAGTCAGTAACTGAACATATATCAGAACATATTCTAGAATCATGCCCTTCGTATGGTTCTCCATGTTGCACCAATGGTTAGTGTTATTAAAGTGATGGCACCACAAATTTACACCAAACAAAATGATAATTATGATTTAGCTATTAATCCAGTGCTCAATACAATATCAAGCCATATCAAATATATCTTTAGTAGCTTGGATATGAGATGAAATCTAGTATCTAACATAGACTCGCCATGCAGGTAGTCAGCAACAGGCAGTAGCAACCAAAGGTTGTCACATCACATAGTTGAGTAAAAATAAATTAATTGATATTTTGAATATAATATTTTACAGATTTTTCCCCCAATGCACTTACTCTGCAATAATAATTCTATTTTAATTTTTAAACCGGTTATGGTAATTTAGACTATTTTGATGTTGGAGTATGTATTAATCTAATCCCTATGTAATTTCATTAGAATGTTTTGTTTTGAACATTTTTGCTAAAATTCTCACTTAGTTCTAGTTTAATGGTGTGAATTTGGAAGATTGGCATGGGTAAGTGAGTTCCCTCGGAGTGCATCAACGCCATGGTTATGAAAGCTTTGGATTTGTTAGGCTTATTGTTTGCTAACGCCTATATTTTTTGCAGAAAGAAATGAGCAGTAATAATTGAACAATTTACATAATGAACTAAAGCAGATTTATAAAGCAAGATCACTATGAGCATGTAGGAATAGAAGTTAGCTATACTTTATATAACTCATTGTTTTACTTCATGTTTTTCCCTCTCGGCTGCCTTTGATTTTCTCTCTTCATTTTGTACTCTCTTTGCTCTTTCCTGCCTTTGATTTTCTGTCTATACCTTAGCTAAGAGTGCATACTCTTGTGCTTTTTATCTACTGCTTCTTTCATTTTCTTTTAATCTTCGATTCCTATTGCTTTTCATTTGTTGTGCTTCTTTTTACATCATCGCCCAACACCCCCCCCATCTGACTCATTCAATCTGTACATCAACCCTCATCATCTAGGACCTCTTCGTGTTGATATTGCAGAGCAGGTGCCTGCAGACCATGGACAATCTTGTGGTCATCTCGAAAGTGAGCGGGATAAGATCCTTCTGTTACGTTGATGATTTCTTGATGGAGTCCTGTAGCTCAGTGGTTAGAGCATTCGCTTTGCAAGTGAGAGACCTGGGTTCGATGCCCAGCAGGGTGAACCTTGGGCAAGTTTCTTTACTCCACATGCCTGATAATAATCCCTCAAGAAAAAAACAATAATAAAAAAATTGGTCATTTCAATCCACAACTGTTTGTGGGACATTGCTGTGCGCAATTGGCTGTCGCATTTCACCAACAAATATACAGTCAATTCACTTTACAGTCTATTTTGTGAAGCGCTTTGACATGTCTACAAGACGTGAAAAGCGCTATATCAAATGCAAGGATTATTATTATTATTTGGTAGATTAATAAGATACTTAATTGATGCTCAGGTTTAGAGACAAGATACTCATGATACTAATGCTGTTTGAAATAACAAATATGGTATAAGGAACACTCAACTCCTGTTGTTTAAGGACTTGTGTTGCGGTAATATTAGATATTGGTGTCAGTGTGCGAGATGAAAATATTTTTTGAAATGGCTGGCCCAGTCATATTGAAAGTCTCTTTTAAGACTTTGCAAACTAAAGCTTTCTCAAGAGTTCAAAAGATAAATTTCTGCTTAATTGCTCACTATTGGAGTCTCCATTTAACTAGTCAAACCCAAACTGTATGGTCTGATTCCCCACTTGAGTAGCTGGCAAAGCTTCCACCCCAGTTTACACCTATTAGATAACCAGTGAGAAGTTAATAAATAGATTAATCTTCCAAACAAAGCAAAGCAAATTTGTATGGTAGCTTCTTGAATAACTTGGAAATATACACTGAATAAATTAGAAATATTGTCATTGGATTAAATGGCTGCAATGGTCAAAACTTCTGTTTAAAACAAATATGCTAGAACTGAAAAGGTCATAGTTATTGTACAAAAGATCAGGAATTTGATATTTTATGAAATGTACATGATAAATTGCATCTCAGTTCTGTGTATTGTGGAGTAATGTAATGTGTCACAGGTCTAGCAAAGCTGTTAAGATAATATATATTGTTTCATTTTTGAATGAAGACATTGAATTTTGAGATTGTGTTGGAACATTGATATGAATGGAAACATATTCTAACATAGATTAGATGTGTGACTGCTATGAATAAGTAATGAGTTAAAATGTTTTGCCAGCCAGACCCCTATCTAGCAAATCAGAAGAACAAGAATAGATTTAATTTGTTTTCTACAAGAATTTAGTTCATAAGTAAAACAATATAAAAAAAAACATTTTGAGGTAGAACATTTAATAAACATGAGTGCTTTTTCTCTTTGAAGTCATAAAATTGCTATGGTTTTTAGGTCTTTATTAGTTGCTCCCCTCTAATTCTCACTGCTTTGGAGATTAAGAAAAATATATTTTCTGTATCCCCAAGAAGGACCAATTCTCTGCCAAACCGCACGTTAACAGGTTGCTGGTAGCAAAATGCTCCACTGAAATGAATCGTGCAAAAGATGATTTAATGAAGATATCTGTAATTTAATACAGCTTCTAAAGTTAAACACATTTGAAGAAGAATTAAAGGTTTAGAATATTATATGACCATCACATGCACATGAATACATATCACACAGTAAAATGAAGTGATACCTCAAATGCAAGATTAAATGGTAAACACTGAATAATAAATTGACCGAATACAAACTTACTGTTTTTTTTAACTTGGAAGATTATTTAGTGTAGGAATTTTAGTGTTAATTTTTTTTAATAGTCTCAAGAGATAAAACTGAGCAATTTACTTTATTTAGTCCTTAAAGGCAACCTGAAGTTGATCTGTATGTAGCCATTTAAAGATGAATGTGTCCAACTGGAAAAGTAACAAAATGCAAAACGGCAAAGGAATGTCAATGGGAAGTACAATTATAGCTGCCATTGAAACCAACCTAAAACTGTAGAAAGTATTACTTGGTGCAGTTTAACTGTTGCAGAAGCCAAATAGTTGTATCATATCATGGTGGTCACAGCTACGATGACATTGTGTCTTACCAAACAGAGGGGACAGGCATTGTCTCAAGACAGTATTTGCTCACATTAAGAAGCATAAAATATTTTTGCTGCATGTCAAAAGTAATTCAACTTAGTTCAGTGTATCCAAAGTAGTTAAGATAATAACTTATCTCTTCTCTTTGACCGTGCCTTCAGCTCCCCTCTCGACTCTCTTCCTCCTCCTCGCTCCCTCCCTTCCCTCCCCTCACCCTGACCATTTCCCCCCTCCTCTCTCCCTCCCTTCCCTCCCCTCACCCTGACCATTTCCCCCCTGCTCGGGTCATGACCCAACTGTGCAGCGCCTTGGGACGTCCTCCTGACGTGAAAGGCGCTCTATAAATGGAATCTTGTTGTTGTTGTTGTTGTTAGTGTCTTTGAAGAATAAATCCAAACTTCAATTTGATACCGTTTCCTTATTGCTTCCAAAAAAAAAACCCAAAGAATAAAAGGCATAGAATAACCAATCACATATCAAAAATAAATGACTCCTTTAGTATCAGTTGGCAAACTCTCTCATATATCTAAATAAGACATGCATAATATGGCATACAATTAAAATAATTTTTTTCAACCTACTTACGGCAGAAATGGTACAATTGTTGGTAGCCAGTTTACATACCGCAATGTCCCACAACAGCTGTGGAGTGAGTGACCAATTTTTTATTTGGGGGATTGTTGGCCAGGACACCAAAATAAACTCACTTCTCGTATCAAACAGTGCCATGAGATCTTTAGCATCCACCTGAACAGGCAGATGGGGCCTCAGTTTAATGTCTCATCTGAAGGACAGCACCTCTGACAATGCAGCAATCCTTAACCTAACCCTTCAGTATGCTTAAGGGGAAAACACAATCTCCCCAGCAAAGCACCAAAATCAGAAAACATGAGAAATGGCAGAGAGTAAACATGAATAGGACTGTACTGCAGGTAGTAATAAGCTCTTTGGGTTCTGATTAATTAAAGATGCTTGAGTTTCACTCAGTTTAAGACACATTAAAATGCCTCAATTGTGTTAATGACTGGTAATATATTGCCGCTCATGTTTTCATTCCAAGTGTGTATCATTCTGAGTATTAATATGAATGATTAAAGAGTAGCTCTTGGAAACTATTTGAAAAACCTGCTTTAAAAGCTTGATGTTAAATTAGGATAAATGGAGCCAATCACGACCCATTCATTTCATGGTATCCTGATCACTACTGCATGATGCTTAATAATTGCTCTATTTATTGAACATTTGAGCACAGCTTTCCAAGTTTAGCTTCAAAGTAGTCAGCATAATGTCTCTG